CCACCCAGGCACCCCTACTCTTTTTTATACTTGGATCAATTGCACTTTAACAAAAGTTGATTCATACTAAGGCTCTTGATACTTTGTTTTCTTCTTTCTGTTCTGCCTTCCTTTCTTCCTTCAACAAATATTTTTTGAGCAACTTGTACCTTGTTGAGAACTGGAACAAGATTGGTTCCTGTCCCCATGGAACTTACAGTCTATAAGGAGAAATTAGACATGTAACAAGCAATTGCAAGAATAAGTATTTAATTATAATTTTTCAGAACAACATTACAGAGTGAGTAAGTAGTATAGGTAAAGGCCCTGAACTGGGAGGAACTCAAGAAACTGAAAAGGACCTGAAAGATCAGCATGCTAAAGAAATGTGGTAGGTGAGGCTGGAGAATGAGGCAGGAGTAGAACATTCTGGGTCTTCCAGGACACGTTATAGATTTTGGCCTTTATCTCTATAGTAGTTGGAAACAGTCAATCATTTTAGGCAGAGGAATGATATAATTTAGACTGTGTTTAAGAAAAATAATGATGTCATCTGGGTGGATGCAGATTTTTTTCAGGGGATATCACCCAAGTCCAGTGAAATAGGATGGAGGCCTGAAATAAAAAGGAGGCAGTGGATGAGTTGGAGAAAATTTCAGAAAACAAGAAGGAAAGGATTTGGTGTGTAGTTGGAGGAGAGTGTATAAAGGAAAAGTTGTGGAGTTGAACTAAAAGGGAAGAGTATTTCTGAAGTATAGGAGGCTTGTAAATTCATCACTAGGTGTGCTAAGTTTCCTCTATTATTCAAAAGAAAACTGCCCCTTCTTTATCTTCTCTGCTCACACAGCATCACACATGCAAACATGTAAAAATCACCACATTTTACAATAATTTCAGGCACATTTTAGTTATACATCAGCTAAACTGATATAGAAGACTCATCCTCCCACCATATATATGCTGACAGATAATTTAAATATACAAGTGTGTGAATATGTATACATAACTGTATTTGTTTTGTGTATGTATATGTATATTGTGTATAGATTTATACACACACACACACACACACACACACACACACACACATCTATGCATGATGATTCAGGTGCTGCTAATAAGGATTCAGACCCTACTATGAACCTTACAGTCAGGGACCAGAACACTAAAGCACATTTGGGACTCGTGGTGGGCCTGCACCTTCCACTCATGAACTCAGTCAGGAAAATCATAAGGTAGCTTCCTTGCACTTTATTCAGTGTATTAAACAGAAAGGCAATTAAAAACCAGCCATGAATAAACTATCCTGAAATTTCTGCCACACAGCAGTGCAAAAAAATGTGAACTGAAAATTTAAAGTAAAATCTAATTCAGAAAAGTTGAAATCCAAAGAATGTTTTCATAAGCAAACACAACTGCTGTTTACATATGATCAAAACTTTTAAACCATAAAGGAAGCAAATAACAATGTGAAAGAGTCAGTAGAAGCAATAGGAAAATTAAGACTTAAAAATCACATATGACTTAACGATCTGAAAAGGACTATAAAATAAGCTTAAAATAACTGAAAAGGTGAAAGAAAGAATGGATTTCATAACAGTATAAAATGGTATGAATAAAATATCAGATTTGAAAATTTTAAAAAAATATTCTGAAAATATAAAAAAATTAAGGGAAAATATTTTCAGGATATTGTTAAGTAGCAGAAGTAAAATTTAAAAGAGAATTATTAGACCATCCAAATAGAATTGTTAGACCACAAATAGAAAATAAAAGATTTATTTTCTAGAGACATCTAACCAAAAAAGATCTGACTCAGAAATAATGGAATTTCAAAGTGAGATGTCTAAAAGAATGGTTCTGCGGATAATGGCTTGAATGAGGAAAGATAATGAAATCAATCACCCATTCTATCCTGTGGATCAACAGCCAAAAAGTCTTCATCATAAGCACAGAACTTTTGAAGATATTTCTGGGATTTAAGATTTAACTTTCAACTTTATGAAAAGAAGTTCCTCCCATATAGAAGAATGTGACACAAAGATCTGCTTTTCTGCATAAACAACCAGAAAGCTGTATAAAATATATGAAACAGAGCAGAAATGTGATGCCTGAGAGAAGAGAAACAAACAAGATGAATTTATCATTTCAGTTTTCTATCTGGAAGTTTGCCACATTACAGGCTAGATACAAAACAAACCAAAACAAGTAAAACCAACTGCCTCACTGAGATGAAAAGACAGACATAAAATTTGGGGAGGCTAAGGTGGCTGAAATTTTCTGGGCCAAGTACCAAGGAACCATGCAGAATACAGCTCCAGAGATTTGCATAGAGATCACTTCAAATCTTTGGCTGAATTCAGTTCTGGTCATGCATTAAGTAAGAACTCTACAAAGACCAGCCAAAAACAACATCTAGAAAACTATACACTAAAAAATTCCCAGACTTCACACAGGGTTGGAAGATAATTGGAATTCCTATCAGCCAGAGAGGGACAAATCTGTTAAATACACAGGACATTCACTAGAGACTTCAGAAGAATCATGCCTAAGTACTGGGACTCAATAGTCCTAGAAGAAAGGCTACAGAACTATAGACCCGTTCTAACAAAGCCTGAAGACAAACATCAAGAGGATGAAGCAGATTCTCAAGTAACTTAACTGTCTGCCAAGTATAGTTCAAGATCTTTAAAGGAAAAAAACAGAATTCACTCAACTCCACAAAATCATAATGTCCAGCACCTAACCAAAAATTGCTAGACATGCAAAGAAGCAGAATTAGCTGACTCATACTAGGAAAAGAAAAGACTACAAAAAGATCCCCCATGGCAGAGATGGTAGAATTAGCAGATAAAGACTCTTAAAAAGCTGTTCTAATTATGCTCAAGGCTTTATAGGAAAATGAAAGATGTTTTTTAAATAATAAAACAGAACTTCTAGCACTGAAAAATACAATATCTGAAATGAAATATTCACAGCGATGGTGGCATAAGATGTCCCTCATATTTGTCCCCTTTCCTAAACAAGCTCATCAGGTGAATCCTAAGAACATTACAGTTTAAAAATTGTTCCACATATTATCCTGTATCTTGACACTTTTAGAGATATTTTCCTCCTACTTTATTTTTTTTTAAGATTTTATTTATTTATTGACAGATCACAAGTAGGCAGAGCGGCAGGCAGAGAGGGGGGGGGAAGCAGGCTCCCCGCTGAGCAGAGAGCTCGATGTGAGGCTCGATCCCAGGACCCTGAGATCATGACCTGAGCCAAAGGCAGAGGCTTAACCCACTGAGCCACCCAGGTGCCCCCCTCCTACTTTATTCTTCTTTGTAAAGATTCTTTTGGCTCTTCTGTTCTCTTTGTAATTCTGTATGTATTGTAAAATCAGTTTGTCATTTTCTAGAGTATATAGAGCTGCTTCATTTCATTTAATCATTGCATCAGATTATATTGTATTCTTTAAATTAATTTATCAATCATTCCTCTATTTCAGACATTTTAAACTTTTTGCCATTTTAAACCATGCAACAGTTAACACCTGTGCGCACACATCACTAGAAAGTGTGCAAGTCTTATTTTCAGGCAGAGTCTTAGAAGTAGAAGAGCTGGATCACAAGGAATATGCATTTAAAATAATGATATAAATGATAAAGTTCACTATCAGAAAGGGAATTACTCAGAATACATAAATGTGTATGAAAATGCCCATTTCCCCAAGTCCTCTTAAACACTAGATATTCATCTTTTCCATTCTTTAATTTTATAAGGTTTAATGTTTTCATTTCTATTTCTGCAATGATTAGAAAGCTGGGTATCTTTGATGTATTTATTGGCATTTTTTTTTCCTTCCCTGAACTGCTTTTCTCTGAGCTGCTTTTTCTTTTTGATTGGCAGAGGCTCTTTTTATATTCTGGTTGGTAAGTTTTTGCTTGATATTCATGCTGCATAGATTTCTTCCCCATGTGCTGCTTGTCTCTTTAGGTTGTTTTTCTCTTTATAAAAGTTTAAAATTTCTTAGTCAAATCTGAGTTGACTTCTGAGTTGAGTTACCAAGGAAGACCTTCCTCATCTAAATATTACTTTTTAAAATCCTTACTCAAAAAGGATTTGACCTTTATATTTAGCTTTTAATACATTAGAAATTTATTTTTATGTGGTATAAAGTAGAAATTTATTTTTATTTATTTCCATGTATAGATAATTATATCAAGATACACTTTTTAAAGATATTTATTAACTATATCACTATATTTTTTGTGTAATGTAAAATGTCACGTTTATCATAAACTAAATTCCCACACATGTAAGTGTGCTTCTGAACTCTATTTTGTTCTATCAAAATACCTGTTTCTATGCTCATGCTACCTTTTTATTTTCTATTTTTAAATTTTTTATTTTATTTTTTTTAAGTAGGCTCCACACCTAGCCTGGAGCCCAACACGGGGCTTAAACTCATGACTCTGAGATCAAGACCTGAGCTGAGAGCAAGAGTTGGGGGCTTAACTAAGCCACCCAAGTGCCCCACCTCATGCTACCTTTTTAAAATTACTGTCATGACATATATTTTTCTTTACCTACTAGGAAAATCTCACTTTATTGGCCTTCTTTTAAAAAAAAAAAAAGTTATTGGGGTGCGTGGGTGGCTGGGTTGGTTAAGCTTCCAACTCTTGATTTCGGCTCAAGTGAGGATCCCAGCATAGAGAGATCAAGCCCTTCTATGGGCTCTGCACAAGGTGTGGAGCCTGCTTAAGATTCTTTCGTGTTCTCTATGCCCCACCCCCTCCCCTTCTATGCACACTCTCTCTAAGGAAAAAAAAAAAAAAAAGAGTTATTCTTCTCCTGGTATACTTAAAATCAGTTTGTAAAATTCCTTAAAAATCATCCCAACTGCTCAGAAAATCCCAAATTCTCAGAAAAAGAGCATTAAATTTATTAGATTTATTTGAAGATTTTTTTAAGTGATAATGAGTCTTCTCGTTTAAAAACATGTATGTCTTATTATTTATAAAAATCTTTTATAGAGGGGCACCTGGGTGGCTCAGTGGGTTAAAGCCTCTGCCTTCGGCTCAGGTCATGATCCCAGAGTCCTGGGATCAAGCCCCGCATCGGGCTCTCTGCTCGGCGGGGAGCCTGCTTCCTCCTCTCTCTCTGCCTGCCTCTCTGCCTGCTTGTGATCTCTGTCTGTCAAATAAATAAATAAAATCTTTAAAAAAAAATCTTTTATAGAAAACAAGATGATTTTTTAACATTTAACATTTGGCAGACCTCCCAAATTCTATAATTTATTGATTGAAAAGCACATAGTCAAGACTACGGTAGATAAGCTAATAAGGCTTTTAAATCCTGAAGAGTGGCAGGCTATATGACACCCTCAAATATGCCATTGTGGCATAAGGAATATTTTGAATTAAAGGCACTTGAAAAACAGCACGTTCAAGAAGAGCACTCTGACCTCTTTCTGGAAGCAGGAGCTCAAACTCCCATGTGAAAGCTACCCTCTCTGTACCAAGAGAAGAGAAACATTCTCACCACCAGAGACCCAGAGTGGAGGCAGAGAGAATTCTGTACAAATAGACCTTGTTAAAATAGCTCACTTTCTGTTAGCCTCCCTACATTTTACATTTTACGTACTTTTCCACAATTGCCTTTATTTGTTAAACCCACTTTGAAGGCATTTGGGGTTTACTACTTCTTTGGGTCTTCATTTACTTATGAGGGCGCCCATGTTACATAAAACCTATATTAAATACATTTGTATGGTTTTGCCAGTTAATCCATTACATTAATTTAATTCTCAGGCCCAGCTGATCACCATCTAAGAGGAAACAGGTGAGGTTTTGACCCTGCCCACATTTACACATATATTCCCCACATTTATATTATTCCTTTTAAATTCATTTCCCTCCCCTTTCACTTGTCCTGTCCCATCTCAGTAAATAAAATTACTATATACCTCACTGTAAAAGCAAAAAATATAGGAGTCAAATCTCTCATGCCCCATATTTGATGCATGAACAAGAAGAGCTGATTCTGACCCCAGAATATATCCCAAATCCTTTCACTTTTGTGCTTCTCCACTCCAGGCATCATTTCTTAGCGGATGCCTCTTGTGGTTGAGACTAAAGTTGGATTGTGTATAACCAAAGCTTGGCAGGGTGGGGGGATTAGATAAGAATGGCTTAACCAAGATAGAAGCTTATTGTTCTTTCACAAATATAACAGTGTTTGAAACAAGATAAGAGTTTGTTCCCTTTTGGTACTGAAAGCCAGGTTATTGACTGCTAAAGCAAGAACGTTTTCTATTATGTAAGTGGCTTCTAACATATAAGGTGTCAATGTCTGGGCGTTCATGGAGTGTCCAGGTATTTCTAAAGCCTCTCATTCATTAAGTATTATCCATAGGTTAACACTGAAAAGAAATAAATAAAATAAAATGAAAAAAGAAAGTATTATCCATAGGTTAAATAAATAATGTCTAGCTCATATTTATCCTATGGCATAATGGATATTTTTAGTGATATGCCAATCTTTTTGTGGTTAATAAATAAATCCTGTACAAATATGCATACATATATTATATTATATAATTATACACATATAAATGTGTGTATGTATGTGTATATATATACACATACGTGCAATTATATAGGGTGTGGGGAGAGAGAGGCAGAGAAAAAGAGCTTACTATGCACTATATACTATGACCCTGAGAATATAGCAGTGAACAGATTAGGCCAAGTTCTTGCCTTGTCATGGAAAACAGGGTCAATAAATAAATGAACAAATGTTCTAAAGAAGAAAAATAGTGTCTAAGATAGTGACTGAGGGAGGTAATTTTTTGATGGAAAATTAAAGACTCTTTGAAGAGGTGACATTTGAGCTCTAAATGAGCCAATGATGTGAAGAACTTGGTGGGCCAGGGGGACGAACATTCCAGAAAGAAAATGGAACAGGAAGGACTTGTTCTGTTTAAAAAGCATGACAGAAGCAAGTTTGGTTGGATCTTCATATGTATGGAGAAGAAATGCTATAAGATTGCGTATAGGCAAAGACCAGATTATTCAGGGCCTTTGCAGTTTAGATTTTCTTCTTAAATCAGCCAATGAGTTTAAGCAAGCAGGGGCATGATCTATTTTACGGTTTAGAAGAACTTTGGCTACTCTGTGGGCACTAGAGGAGAGAGGCAGGCAGATGAAAGAGGAAAAGAGACAGTGGTTGTTATGGAGTCTGGATACGGCAACCTGGGGTTGGCTAGCCAGCTCTTAATGTTGGATCTTTTTCTATTTAGCAATAGTACCCATTTTTGTGAGCTCTGCTGCATCCCATCTAAAAGACTGCATTTTCCAGCCTCCATTAAACCAGATGGGCCACGTGATTAAGTGCTAGCCAATTAGGTTTGACTAAAGTATTGTGTGAGACTTACGAGAAGCCTCTAACGATGTTAGAATTTCACCTGAGCCTGAGTTCCAGTGAGAGAGTGATGGCTAAGAAACTCCCCCACCTTCTTGTTTGCTGAACACCTCCTTCCCACCTTTTTGTGTTCCAGGAAAAGCATTACTTCAATGAAATACCCTCCCCATATGCCTTCGATAAGACTCCCATAAGATTCTCAGATGATTCCCTTGTATTTAACTGATAAAGAGACCTCTTTATTTATCTATTTATTAAGAGATCCTCCAACTCTCTCTCTCTCTCTTTTTTTTTTTTTTTTTTTTTTGCGATAGAATTGATGTGTTCCAGGAATATCCAGCACCTCATTCTTTGTCTCATGAATGATTAGATGATATTAAAAATGTTTGCCTGAAAAGAGCTAAACACAGAGATGTTTCCTGTTCAGCTGACTGAGATTTCCCCCTGTGTGCAAAACGGTCCCCAGCTCTAAATCATCCCACTTTCAATTTATCTATGCCTCCCCATAAAATCTAAGGCAAAATTACACTGTGATGATATGTGGATCTTAGGATCTAGGGTGTGCTCCTTGTTGCAATAGCCTGAAAATGTTCTCCTTAATTGTCTGCTGCTTTTTGTCTCTCAGGTCTCTTTATATGGCAGATAATATCTTCCTTGCTCTTCTTCCTTCCTAATGCTTGAAATGTATAAGGTGAAGGCTGACTTCAGGCAGCCTTCTTGTGCCACAAGGTGGCATACATTTAAAATGAATCCTATTATATCAGACTATGGAAAGGGTTATAAAAAGAAGCATAAAAGAATGTAATGAAATTATAAGCAAAATGAGATTAATTGTGAGGGGTTTGAGCAAATCTCAGGGAAGACTTTTCAGAGATGATACTTTATGTAGGTCCTAAAATAATAAGCATTTTTATTGATGGATGAGTGAAAATGACAAGCATGATGAATCTGATCCAAATTGCCTTAACAGGTTGAATAAGTGTACTACTAAAATTTGGTCTTTGTTATGTTGGGGCCTCCATTTTAAGGTAATGAAATAAAATATAAAAGACCTTAAACCAGTGACTGCAACAAAATAATTGGTCAATAAATGTAAATTTGCTTTATTATTTAAAAGTTTTGCAATCTGACAAATAAACTTATCTCACTGTTGAAATTTGTAATGATAAAGGAAATTTCAACCTTTAATGTTTGTGGGCCTTGCTCCTGGGCTCCCAGGGAAGCTATATTTTAACATTTACTAAGGTCAAAATGACCTTGAAGAACCCCAAAGCATGGGCATTATTTGTGCTTCAGGCATACATTGTACATCTGCTTTGTTCACGCCTAAAAGGAGCATTCTGAACACAGAGGTTAAGAAGAAGGAAGAAATTTCCCTGGTTCCCATGATGTCAAAGTCCTACAGCCCTGCATACACTAGAAACTTAAGGTCTACAACTTTCTGAAATGTCCTTTGTCTAATGATTTGTAACTTTTTATGGTAAAAGTATGTACGACCCTATAGCAAATGTTCCTTTGCCAAAGCACTCTCTTGCTAAGATTGTGTACCCAGGGTAGCTGTCCTGACTTGGGCTCAAAGAAAACTCCTTTCTTTTAGAAAATCTGGAAGGTTTGTTCATTTGCCATCAACGGTTGTGTTTTTCACATGTTTATTTGCCATGTGAATATTTTCTGTAATTTGCCTGTTTATATCCTTTGTCATTATTTCACTGTTTTGCTTGACTTACTGATGGATTTGTAGTTCTTCATGTCATCTGGATAGAACAACCACTTGTCTGTTATATGTGCAAATATTCTCACTCCATCTCCGGTTTGTTGTCTTCTTAGTTTCACTGGTGGCATCTTTAAACAGGTAGACTTTTGACATTTATTGTAGTTAAGTATTTCAGCTTTCTTTTAAACAATTTTGGGAGACAGTTGGTCTAGATTACCCATAAAAACTTTACAAAGATGTAGGCTACAGCTATCAACAGTGAAGTCTTCAAGATATATGTGGAGTACCATGTTCATGGAACAGGACAAACATTTGCTGTCTATCTGTATGTGCTAGCATCAGCCCAGGTGTTTATCTGTACCAAATCCTTTGATCCTTACAGAACCCTTCCAAAGTAGGCAGCATTGTTTCTGTCTTATACCTGAGGAAACTGAAGTTTCAGTGTCCCATAGCTAGTAGGTGACATAGTTGAAATGGCCTGTGGGCCCCAACTATGATTGCAAACTCATAATATTAATTAGCAGTTTGGTTTAAAATTGTGTATGAGATAGGTGTACATTTGGCTTAAGAGAGGTAAATGTGAAAAACACCTGAAAGTTCTATTTGATCTGGTAGCTAAAAAAGTGAAGGAACATAGACAATGTTGTACTCTTCTATGACTGGATTACACCTGGAACATTGTGAGATAAAGTGTCAGATATTAGTTAAAGCAGTTAAAACAGATTTTATTTAGTAACTACCGATAATAGGAGAAAAAGCTGAGCTCCATTCTGATTTGCGCAGAAGTGATTTGAGTGTTTTAAAGGGAGAATAAGGGAGGAAGAAGAGGAGGACCTAGTAGAGTCAGAGAAGTAAAAAATTATAAAGGGTTGGTCAGTGTCTATGTGATTAGGACACACATTGTTTGCTAGCTAGAAGCTAGGATTCTGTCCCCCAACAGAGAGGGGGAAACAGAGGCCCAATCCCTCTGATGATTATATTCCAAAGAAATGGCTCTCAGGTCCTGGAGAGAGAGATAGGTGGGGACAGAGAGAGGAGAGAAAGAGGCACTTCTGAGTTGCTAGAGATAATATGTCACAATTTTAAGCCCTTTGAGAGGTAAGAGGCTATCATCAGATTTTGGCCAGAACAAACAGTAAATCTGGCAGCCGTAATGTTGGGAACAAAAGACGCCCTCAAATTAGAAAGTAATAACTGACAGATATGATGAGTTCCCTCATGCCATGGGAGGAAACACTAACATTTTAAACAAGCCGAATGACCATGAGGAACAAAAGCAGTCACACAGCCTAAGGTGACAAACTTGCACAAAATTCAGCAAAATTTGCAAAAAGACTCCTGTAACCCTTTGTGTCATGCTCTCCAATGGCTGCCACATCCTGAAACCACCGCCAGAAATATCGAGCTATATTCTGCTCCTGAAACTAGTAGTTTGGGACTTGAGTCTAACCAGGTTCCATAAAGGCACAGAATTTGTGTGTTTTGCCTCTTCAACCTAAGCCTAATCCTCCCTCTTCAGAGCATAATCTTAGCTTGTAACTCAAGACTGCATTTCCGTATTTGCAAACTGCATGATAATACGATTTTTCCTTGTCTCTGACCAGATTTTTTGCTGACAAGCATTCTCAGGCAGGCATTTTATGGGGGTGGGAGGAGCAGCACTGGGGTCAATCTAGGGACAGGGCTTGTGCAACTAGAAGTCATATTAGAAGTTGGTCAGGTGTCTTACTTAGTCTTGCAGAGGTCTGCAGGAGTTGCTGTATGCTGAGACATGTGCAGTTCTCACTGGTTCTTGGAACCACAATTTACGAGCAACATTAAATACAGAGAATAGGAACCAGGATGGTAGAGTCTGAAAGTCACATCACATTAGAACCTTGAGAAAATTGAGCTTAGCCTAGAAAAGGTAAAGTCTGGGTAGTTGTCACGAGCACACTATGGAGGTGCACACATGAGTTGTGTCTTTCCACAATGTCAGCTTTATTCCATCATAAAGCAAGATTAACATAATTGTAAAGCAGCTTCAAGATTTCAAACTCAATGGCATTTTGCTGTGTGTTTAACTTGGCTTCTCACACATCACACGAAGCAAAGTGTAAGACAGAGTCACCCGCCAAGCAAAATACAAGGGGTAGGAAGTTAACAAACCAAAGTCAAAGTCTGTCTGGGAGTGTGCAGTTGAGATAAAGCCTCAGTCCAGTCAGAAAGAGCTGTTGGCACATGCTGCGTATTATGTTCAAGCCATGGAGAATGTTCAGAGATCAACAGGGCAGAGCCTTTGGTGGCAATTACCTTTTTGATGTGGCCAGCTGTGCAAAGGTCATTATCTAGAAAGTCTGGTCATTTCTTGCAAAGATTCTCACTCTTGAAAGGCATTTAATCGGACTTTGTGCCTTTGCAGACCTCTTCTGGTTTTCCTGGTTATCAGTTATCAGAAAACCAGTTTTCCTGGTTATCATTCTGGGTATCCTCAGCTTGTGTTGTTTTCAGTGATATCTAGTCTTAGCTACAACACATTTGGCTGCATAAATCACGGCTTAACACGGTCACTGTTGGATAGGAGTGACTCCATCTTGCTTTCCACTCAGTACATTTAAGATGATTATGAGGACCAGGGACCCCTCCAACATGTGGTGGTGCTGGGAGTTGGGAACGGTTGACAGGTACAGTGAGGGGATTTTTGCCTAAAGTAATAATTTTTCCGGTGATTAGGATTGCTTAGTTTTGGAAAAGCTCCATGGCAAAAAGAGTGAGCTCTCCATCCTAGAGTGTTAAGGAACAAATGGATCTGCTAGTAGGTGGCTTAAAATTTTTTCAAACTAAAAATTTATTGACCTTCAGGCGCCTGGGTGGCTCAGCGGGTTAAGAGTCCAATTCTTGATTTCAGCTCAGGTCACGATCTCAGGGTCCTGGGATGAGCCCCCAGTCCTGCTCAAGCTTATCAGAGAGTTCTTCTTGGGGATTTTTCTCTCTCCCTCTGCCCCTCACCCTGCTCACAGGCTGTGCTCTCAAATTAATGAATCTTTAAAAACAAACAAACAGGGGCACCTGGGTGGCTCAGTGAGTTGGGCCTCTGCCTTCAGCTTGGGTCATAATCTCAAGGTCCTGGATCGAGCCCCACATCTGGCTCTCTGCTTGGCAGGGAGCCTGCTTCCCCCTCTCTCTCTGCCTACTTGTGATCTCTCGCTCTCTGTCAAAAAAATAAAATCTTTAAAAACAAACAAAACAAAAAACCAACCAAACAAACACAGAATTTTATTGACCTGAAAGATGAAATAGTAAGTTTTGTCAGCAAAATGCGTTTATTCCAGAATAGCAAAGAATTGCAATTCAGGGCCTGCAAGCTATGGCAAAACCACAGGTAAGCCCCACAAAGGAGAGGGCCGTTATTTCAGGGAGGAGGAGGAGGGTGGGAGGTTGCTTTGAACTGAAAGTTCCTGGAGAAAAGGAAGAGTTCAGGATGATGAGGGATCTCCTTGGTCGAGCGTGCTGGGCTTGCTAGCAGATGCGACATCCATCTTTTCCCAGTTGGGGCCTGTTATTGTTACGTCCTTCCCGTTGGGAAGATTCTCCTGTTGGGGTCTGTAACTGACGCTTCTTCCTGTAATTGGCAATTCTTCTCATAACTGGCAGGCAATGGCACGGCCTGAGGGCTCCACTAGAACAAGGGTTCCCTTTAGGAGTTTCGACACCTTCCTCTGGTTAGGCTCACCGGGAAGGGAGGAAGGACAGACGCGGGTGCGCTCAGGATGCAGGCGGCAAGCAGGGATCAGAGAGAAAGGGGACCGGGAAGACGGGCTCCGGAAAACCGGGAAGGTTGTCCGGCTGTGAGGCCAGGCTGAGGAAGGGTGACCGAGCGGTTGCTGCTTGGTTTTGAGCAAAGCGCGGCCTCCTCACTGACCGCAGCGCTAGCGGGAGCGCAGAGCTGGCGTAGAAGAAACCTGCGGGAGGAAGTTAGCCGGAGGACGACCCGGCGTCGGCGACGTCGGGGGCGCGCGGCCCAGCGGGAACGCGCGGCCCGCACCGGCCCACGGCTCCGGAAGGGGGCGGGGCCGCCTCGCGCGCCCGTTACTTAAGCCTGCGAGCGCCTGCCGCGCGCCGTCGAGGCTCCTCAGCTGAGCTCCGAGCGGTCGATCGCCCTCGCTCCCGCAGTCCCGGCTCCGCTCGCTGCGGGCTCCACCCGCCATTGTGTAAGTGCGGCCGCCGCTCTGCGCGCCGCCCGCCATGTGGGCGCGCGGGCCGCGGGATGGGGCGGGCAGCGCGAGGAAGGGGGGTGGTGGGCAGCCGCGTCTGGCTCTGCAGTCCGCGGATGGTGGCGGTGCGCGGGGACAGGGAGGAGGGAGCGGCTCCCGGAGGCACGCGCGGCGTCTGCCCGCCCCGCAGGCCGGCCTCCCTCTTGGCTCCTCCCCGCGGAGCCGGGCGGCGGGCCCCCCAGGGCCTGGGCTCCCTGGAGCTCCGCCCGGAAGCCGCCGCGGGAGCGCGGGGTGGACGCGGCCGGCGTTCTGGGGGAGTTCGCGGACTGTTGAATTAGCTAGGAGGCATCCTAACGTGGCGTTTCTGTTGTTGTTTTTAAATGCAGAGGCCTGTAGTCTGATATGGAGCATGCCTTTACCCCGTTGGAACCCCTTCTTCCCACCGGTACTGTACTCTTTCCACGTTTCGCTGTCACCTGCCCCTGCCTCCGAGCCCTGAAAGGTTAAAAGGGCCGAACTCTAGACCCAGAAAGGTTTCCAGTCGGCCTCAGACTCCCGAGTTCTGAGCCGTTAGGCATACTCCTCAGCCTCTGTTCTGCCTCAGTTTCCTCCCCTGAAGTAATAGGGATAGATGTCAGCCCTCGCCACAGCGTTTTACCGGATGCGCGCCACCTGGAGAAGAGGGAGTGTCACTTGCGACATTAGCCCTTAGGCCTCAAGAGCACCTCGAACTACTCTGCATCCAAGGGGATTAAGATCAGGAGTTATTGCCCGTCTTGCATTTTCAATCCATTGATTTTTAATCCATCGAAAGCCCCAGAGTTTATTGAATACAAGATGTTTCAAAGCTCTAACACTCACTTGAGGATTTTTATCGTTTTTACCAAATGATCGTCATTCAGAGTTATAGATGGGAGGTATGAGTTAGGGTGATAGCATTGTCATGTGTTGTAATTGATTTATGCGATAATTTCTTAATAAGAATTAAATATATTTCTTTACCAGTTTTTCTTGGTTGTGTAGAAGTCCTGTTTTATCAGTGCATAAGTATATATATATATAGAGAGAGAGAGAGAGAGTTTTCTATGGACACGTGAATGATTGGGGCTGGTTAGAGTATTGAATTTGATTTGGACTTGTCCAGTTGTTTCATATCCTGAGAATATTGATGGTAAAACAAAGAGTAGAAGTAGGGGACCTTGACTTCTTACTCTTCAGTCATTCAGTATGCTAAGTTTTTCACATATACCTTTATGTCTTATTTGCAAGTAAAGGAAAGCAGTAACAGAAGGAGAATCTGAACACAAATCTGTTTGACTTGGTTGAGAGGTTGAGTGAGTGTTTAATTATTGTTGTAAATAGCTTTTCAGAAGTTGAGAAAAGCAGTGGCTTTTCTATGGCTTTTCTACTGTGAAGCAAGTTCATAGTAACCCAATGGTAGCCAGACTTGCATTTCTGTGAGTAAACATTTGATCCCTGTGGCATGTTGATGTTCAGTTTTGTGAAAACCCAAGCACTTCACTGTGATAAAGGAAATTTTCAGCTTTTAATATTTGTGGGCCCTGCTCGTGGGCCCCCCAGGAAGCTAGCTATATACTTCAACATTTACTAAGGTCAGACTGACTTCAGAATCTAAGGGTATAGGCTCTCTTTGTGCCCAGAGCACATACTGTACATATGCTTTGTTAAGCAAACAAAAAACAAACACGTACACCAAAGAGGGGCCTTCTGAACACAAAAGATAAGAAAAAGAAACTTCCCTGTTTTCCTTAAGATTAAAGTCCTACAGCCTATTCTAGAAATTTAAGATAAGGTCTGCAACTTTCTGAAATGTTCTTTGTCTAATTATTTGTAACTTTTTACATAAAAAAGGTGTATAACCCTACATCACATATTCCTTTGCTGGAGTACTTTCTTTGCAAAGATTGTGTATCCAGGGCAGCTGTCGGGGACTTGAGCTTGAATAAAACTTTTTTTTTTTCCTTAGAAATTCTAAAAGATTTGTTCATTTTGTGGCAACATCTGACTGAAGATTTCTGGTGTTTTCTAGGTTGAAGAGAATATATCCCAGAGATAGTGTGGTATAGTAAAGCTTAGATTGAGGAATCAATCTCTGGGTTTAAACCCTAGTTTTGCCACTGTTTATTAGTGTTAACAAACATTCAGCTGAGTGAGTTTTCAAGATGTAATTGGCTGTATTTGATTCATGAAATCCGGCGGTATCCCAGCTAGCAAGTAGAGGGGAGCTCCAAAGGGCTACAGAAAGGGAGAGGTTTTTTTGTTTTTGTTTTTCTTTTTTTAAAGGTGGGAAAAGGAAATCGACAGAAAAAAGGATTGTTTGGGATGAGGTCACCTTCCTTTGGGAAGTGGACAAAGGCCCATGTAACAGATGACCTCATTGGTGCCAATCAGATAATTCCTAACTGAAGACTACATTTCTGGGTGAGGTTGAAACTGCAGTTAGTTTGGCCTAGCGTAAGTGACTCCATTTTGAGCCTGTGGTTTTCTTTTTAACACGAATTATCAAACCTTGTATTTCAGGTTGTTTACTGATAAAATATGAATAATTAACAGCATTGTTAGTATAAATTGGTTGTAATACATATAAAGCACTTAGCATCAGTAGTGATAAGCTGTTCAGCTGTAAGTCCAAGGGGAAAACAAAATGGCAGTTGGATCTCTGGGTCAGTGATGAGATGGGAAAATATTTGGAGCAGTAGAGAAAAACGGGCAGTTCCTTGCTCTGTTTTTATCAAAGGTTTAGTGGAGAAGGTCCGGACCAGACATTGGTAAGCTCCTCTGTGGAGCAGGGCATGTAGAGTAGCTGTAAGAACTATAATATCCTTTATGAAGCACAGATCCATGGAGACAGAATCCAGAGCTCCCTTGGGATTCTCTGTGATTTAGTGGTTCTCAGAGTTTCTTCCTCCATTAACAGGTGAAAAGAAAGTATGTAGGGATTTCTGCCTCCTCTCAGGTGTTGGCCTTGAAAGAAAGGCCTGAGGCAAGCTTGCTGTAGACTCCAGATACCCAAGAGATACTTAAAAATGGAACCGTGTATTAGGAGAGACCAGTGCAATGCCTGCCTTTTGCAATGATTCAGCAAATATTTAAGCATCACGTTGCACTAGCAGTAATCCCTTCATCAGACAGATATTTAATACTTGGCTAGTAGAGAAGTAGCTTTTCAGTCAGTAATTTCTGTGAATCTGATTTGCAGATGTGATTTACCTGTAATGCTTACTCAGATTTAATATAGTGGGCTGTCCAGCGGTTAAGCTGGTTTTAACTAATTGCCAGGTGGACCAAAAGGCAAGGCTTATCTCTCTGGGATCGCTAGCTCAAAGATTTTTTTTTAATCTTTGTGTATGGTGGGGGAGGGTAACTAAAGTAAGTGCTTATTAAAAGAAACACTAATGTAGATGAGAGTTTTCTGTAATCCCTCTTCTAGGAATAACCATTAACACTTGGCATATGTTCTAAATATTCATTTTGGTACATATACCTCAGCATATTATGATCCTTGTTTTAAAGAAAATGGATTCATATTATAAAATCTTTTGTAATTCACTCTGTTGGGGCAGTGAGTGAATTTTTTTTTTAAGTCCATTCAATTTACCAAAGATTATCATTCTAAAATTTTGTTGTAAATTATGTGTGTATATATAAATAAGACCTATTTACCCTTTTCCTCTAACTTTTTTCACTTATGTTGTTATGATCCGTACATATAGGTATCCCAAGTTTTTTTTTAACCTTAATTCCAGTGTAGCTAACATAATTAGTTTCAGGTGTACAATATAGTGGTTCAAAAAACAAAGAAAGTGATGGTTAGATGCCACAAACTAGGTGGTAGTGACTTTATATATGGTTGTTGTCAGGCCGGAGGGCCTCATCCATCCTTGTCAAGGGAAGTATCACCTTCTCTGCTTTCATACAACACCCCAAGTTTTGTTTTTTGATAGCCGGTATGGACTTAAATGAACGAATCTTTTTTTTTTTTTTTAATTTATTTTATTATTTAAAAAAAATTTTTTTTAAAAGATTTTATTTATTTACTTGACAGACAGAGATCACAGGCAGGGAGACAGGCAGGGGCGGGGTGGGGGGGGGGGTGGAAGCAGGCTCCCCGCTGAGCAGAGAGCCCATTCAGGGCTCGATCCCAGGACCCTGGGATCATGACCTGAGCCGAAGGCAGAGGCTTTAACCCACTGAACCACCCAGGTGCCCCAGGTTATTTGTAGTTTTATTATTACTGTCTATAATGCGTATCTTTGGTCATATTTTTTTTGTGTGTGTGTATGTGTATATACCAGTAGCATAAATTCCTAGAAATGGAACTGTTGAATGACAGGATATGTTAGCATTTCTGTTATCAAGAGGAACTGACAGCTGGCTATGTATTTTCTTTGGTAGTAGGTGCTACAGGGGTACAGAAGTGAAAGGTGTGATCCCTTTAGCCATGAGTTAATGGTCTGGTTAGAGAGTTGAGAACAAAATAATATGGATTCTAGTTCAATGTTGAATTACCTATTATAGGAAAGGGAAGGGAAGGACTCATGAGAAGGAGATGAGGGCAGTTTGGAGTAGTCAGGAAGTCACAGAATGTGTAGACCTCAGTTGTGCCTCTGCAAAAGCACTGGACTTAAATGGAGAGCAGGCTCGGGGGAGTGGAAGAGTAAAGGCAGTGATGTGCCCTGAGTGAAAGTTCCGTGCTGCCCTTGACTAGGTGTGAGTTCACCTGGTGGTGAGTAAAGAGAAAGGAGGTCTGAGTAGGCTGGAGAGTGCAGATGGAGATTTTGGTTGATGAGTGAAGGCAACATCGGATTGTGGAGAATAGAGAAATTTAATGCAGGATAGGAGATAAGAAATTCTTCTGAAAGTTTCTGTATTCCACTCCCCCCCGCCCGGCCTTGGAACATTCTGTACAAAGCTGTCATCCGTGTCATGGGGTTGCTAATCATATATGGGTTAAAGTCCTTCTGTTGGACTTGAAGATACTGGGAGTTCTGATTCCGAACTACTTTTCCAGAATATATTTTATCTTTCCCTGTCTGTGACCAAGCCACATGAACTACCCATGTTTACTTATATGAACATTTGTTCCAGCTTTAATACTCTTGCCTTAGCTCATGCTAAATTCATCCCCTGGAATGTTCTTTTCTAAACCTTAGAATTAGTTCTAAGTTTTAGCCATTTGGTTGATGTGTAGAGGTATTCCTGTGATGTTACGGCAGGATACTTGTTTTTCGAGTGTTCATTGGCCTTTTGTGAAATGTTTTACTCTTGCCATTTTTCTATGGGGGAGGGTTTTTTATTCTTTTATTTTTAAGTGATCTCCATACCTAATATGGAACTTGAACTCATGACCCTGAGAGTCGGCGCTCTACTGATTGAGCCAGCCAGGTGCTCTCTCCTTTTTTACAAATAAATTTGCCTGTCTGGTAGAGCATGTGACCCTTGATCTGGGGCTTGTAGGTTTAAACCCCACGCTGGATGTAGAGATTACTTAAAGAAAATCTTTTAAAAAATCAATTTGTAGTTTTTAATTCTAAAAATTGAGGTATAACTGACATAGCATTGTATTAGTTTCAGAGGTACAGCTTAATGATTTGATATACGTATATACAGTATTGGAAAATGATTGCCAAGCAGGAGTTTCTTATATATTCTGGATGCATTTCCTAAGCTTTTTTTTCTCATCAGTGATATACAGAGAATGAGACTTTCCAAGGACAGTTGTTGGGAAGATTTAAGACTCGCATTTTAACACTGATAAATAACAAGAATACATTTTTATTTTTCTCATTTCCTTTTTATCTTAAGATTTTTGTTTTAATTCATGGTAAACAATATTTAGCATACAGTTGCTATTTTAAACTCTTTTCAAAATTGTTTTATAAATAGGGACTTTTTTGGGCTTTGTTCTTGTCTGTGATCATTACATTTTATCATGAAGCTTATATTCAAGCTTCAAGCTGTATGTTTGAAAATAAAGTTGATTTATTTTAAACACGTGAGAGCTAAAATAAAAGTGAAGAGTCAAACCATCTTCAGAATCATTTCACATCTACTTATTTCACAAAGGTAAGGCACAGCAGATGGAGAGGTTTTTCTTTTGGCTTAATAAAAATATTGATATTTTAAAATTTTCATATTTTTACAACATATAATACATATGCATTATAAAACTTTAGAAGGTAAACAAAAATGAAATAACACTGCCGTATTCTAGTGTCTCCGAAATTACCACTGTTACTGCCATGTATGTGGATAAGTGGTGTGTTTATATCTATATCCTTCCAGATATTTGTTGTGTATAATTACACAATGAAGTATTTTTAAACCTAAATGAGAACGTACTGTAAGTTGTTTCATTCAAATGAAACTCCACTTTTTCTACCTAAAAATTTGTAGTATCTGTCCATATTTAAATTTTCCCATTGTTTCAAAAATAACTTTTCCTTTGCTTGTTTCCCACCTGTTCATTCTTCAGTTCTAGCTCAGTTCCTCACTTTTTAAATCCCCCTTAACATTGAATATTGACCTTCTAAATCACTTTTATATCACTCTTAAGTGGAGCTGATGGAATAAAGAATATAGCAGTTAGATATGAAACATTATTCACTTAAACGATATATAAGAAAACTCTAGTTTTAAAAGTTCCATTTTATTTTCCTCACCTAATTTGATTATCATAAATAAATTTTATGCTAGAAAGCCCATACCTCACAGTTCAATGGTAATGAATCCAGGAATATCCTGTTCAGCATAGTATTCATGCCATCTCTTATGTTTCTGGAATTTAATTTCTATCGAAAATGCTTGATTAAGTTGACAAGAGACATGATAAAATCTACAGCTGACTATTAGCATTCTCCAACTTATTAGTGGATAACTTAGGAATTTCTGGGAAATCATACCTAGAATTCTGACTTTTTTGTACTGATAAATGTATCCTGGTCACTTATGTCAGTAATTCTCTGTATTGTGCAGCAACGGACACACCTCAAGGAATCTTGGTGATGACATTCACATGTACCAAACATAGCTATAAACTATGAACTCCCTTCCTTAATTTACTCAGCAAATCATAATAAGAGTAACTCAAGGGTGGATTTAAATCCTCTGCATTTGCATTTTGTTTTAAAATTAAAGATGAAACATGCCTCACTATATAGTAAGAACACATTTTTGGGTTACATCTCTCAACTACTTGAGCACTCTTTCTGGAAATTTTGGGTTTGGTGGTCTCTCTAGGTCTGTACGGTGCAGTAGCCTGGCCGGTAGCTGCACATGGCTCTTGAGCACTTGGAATATGGCTAGTGTGACTGAGGAACTGAATTTGTAACTTGTGTAAAGGCCAAGACTCCACTAAGAAACTGGAAAAGTTTTAAGTGTTTAGGGCAATGTATTAGTGTACTAGGGCTGCCACAGAGTACCGTAGACTGGGTGGCTTAAGTGATAGAAATTTATTTTCTCCTAATTCTCAAGCTGGAAGTCCAAGAGCAAGGTGTTGGCAGCTTTGGTTTCTTCTGAAGCTTCTCTCCTTGACTTGCAGATAGATGCTTTCCTTGTCTCTGTGTCCTCATGGATTGCCGGTTCCTCTGTCTGTTACTTGTGTTCTAATCTCCTATTTTTTTTTTTAACTTTATTTTTTCAGTGTTCCAAGATTGATTGTTTATGCATCACACCCAGTGCACTCTATGCAATACGTGCCCTCCCTAATACCTAATACCCACCACCAGGCTTACCAACCCCCCACCCTCTCCCCTCCAAAACCCTCAGTTTGTTTCTCAGAGTCCACAGTCTCATGGTTTGTCTCCTCCTCTGATTCCCCCCAACTCAGTTCTGTCTCCCAATGTCCTCCGTGTCCTTATGCTCCATGAGTAAGTGAAATCATATGATAATTGACTTTCTCTGCTTGACTTAATTCACTCAGTGTAATCTCCTCCAGTCCCATCCATGTTGATAAAAAAGTTGGGTATTCATCCTTTCTGATCGCTGAGTAATATTCCATTGTATATATGGAGCACATCTTTATGCATTCATCTTTTGAAGGGCATCTTGGCTCTTTCCACAGTTTGGCGACTGTGGCCATTGCTGCTATGAACATTGGGGTACAGATGGCCCTTTTCACTACATCTGTATCATTGGGGTAAATACGCAGTGGTGCAATTGCAGGGTCATAGGGAAGCTCTATTTTTAATTTCTTAAGGAATCTCCACACTATTTCCCAAAGTGGTTGCACCAACTTGCATTCCCACCAACAGTGTAAGAGGGTTCCCCTTTCTCCACATCCCCTCCAACACTTGTTTACTGTCTTGTTAATTTTGGCAATTCTAACTGGTGTAAGGTGGTATCTCAATGTGGTTTTGATTTGAGTCTCCCTGATGGCCGATGATGGACATTTTTTCATGTGTCTGTCAGCCATTTGCATGTCTTTTTTGGAGAAGTGTTCACGTCTTCTGCCCATTTTTTCACATGATTATCTGTTTTTTAGGTGTTGAGTTAGAAGTTCTTTATAGATCTTGGATATCAACCCTTTGTCTGTAGTGTCATTTGTGAATATCTTCTCCCATTCTGTGGGTTGTCTCTTTGTTTTGTTGCCTGTTTTCTTTGCTGTGTAGAAGCTTTTGATCTTGATGAAGTCCCAAAGTTCATATTCGCTTTTGTTTCCTTTGCCTTTGGAGACATGTCTTGAAAGAAGTTGCTGTGGCCAATGTGAAAGAGGTTGCTACCTATGTTCTCCTCTAGGATTTTGATAGATTCCTACCTCATGTTGAGGTCTTTTATCCATTTCAAGTTTATCTTTGTGTACAGTGTAAGAGAATGGTCAAGCTTCATTTCAAGCTTTACTACAAAGCTGTGATCACCAAGACAGCATGGTATTGGCACAAAAACAGGATACATAGACCAATGGAACAGAGTAGAGAGCCCAGG